GACAAAGTGTCTCTAATGTTGGTAAAAGAGTCAAACTCTGTAAAATATTCAAAGAGATTTATTCTGAGCCAAGTATGAGTGACCAATGGCCCATAACACAGCTGTCAGGAGATGGTGAGAACATCTGCACGAGGTGGCTGGGGAACATCTGAACGAGGTGGTTAGGGCGCAGCTTGGTTTTATACATTTTTGGGAGACATGAGACGTTAAATAATGTGTAAGATGTATATTGGTTCAGTCAAGAAAGGCAGGACAACTCAAGGTGGGGTTTCCAGGCAGTGGGTAGATAAGATGCAAATGGTTGCATTCTTTTGGTTATTTGATTAGCCTTTCACTAAATACACAATTTACATATGCCAGGGGGTAAAGGAATAGTCATTTATGCCTTAATCTGGCTCAATAAACTTACATTTTTACAATAAACAATAGGGCTGAGAAAGCAATTAGATACGCATTTGTCTCAGGTGAGAAGAGGGATGATTTTCTGTCCCACACTGGTGAAGATAAGCTACCAATTTACCTTGCCAGGGTTAAATTCAACAGAACTATTTTTAGGGTAAAAATCTTGACTCACAAGGAAGTTCCTTAATAAAATGGGAGGCATCTTTGCCTGATGCAGTTCCCAGCTTGACTTTTTGCTTTGGCTTAGTGATTTTGAGGTCCCAAATGTATTATCCTTTCGTATTATTATTTTGCATATTACATTAGAGATACCACTTGCCAGTGTTAAGTATTGGGTAGACTTTCTCCCTAAAATTTTGTTGAAGAAAAATTGGGGCAACTGGACCTCAATATAAGGTTACCACATGCTGATAATCATGTGAAGCTCTTTCTCTGTTCTTGTCTAAAACCTGGATGCTGCTTAAACACTACTTTTGCTCACTTAAGTTCTTCTGCATTGTAGACTTGTAACAATCTTATCAATTGATTTTTCTCTACATGGTAGCTTAACTACATATATCCGTGTTGCATGTTCAGATCTCTCCTCCAAGGCTATTAGGTTTTTCTTGGGTAATTTTTGTTTTATTTTAACCACTTTCTCTAGTGACAGCAGATGGTAATGTCAGAGGAAGACTGGAGAAAATGTGAAACAATTAATTTACAGTGTTTGAAATTATGCTTATTTCAGCTCGTTGTCCCCAAACTTAGGAAAATTAAAAAGTATAATTACATTTTATTTATAGAACTTTATGTACAACAACAGAAACAATTAAAATATTTGTGTTTTGATCTATTGAGAAATATGTGTTTTTTAAAAAAGATGGATTAAAATATATTCTAGCTGTTATAAACCTGCATTCCAGAAATTCTACTCAGATTTATGCTTTGTTATTAATATGATACCCAGAATGTTACCCTAAAGTAGTATCTGAGCAATATTTTATGTACAGATTTGTCAATTAAACTAGTACACATAAAGAAAAACTACTTAGAACACTCTTTGCCTTTTTGATAGCCTCTATTTTGTTCATTCTTTTAGTAACATAAATTCATTTAAAATATGTTAATTTTTTGAAAAAAATTTTAGATAAAATATTTATGTAGAGTACAACCAAAATAAGGCAGTGGTTTTTATAAAACTGCTAAAGCCATATGTCTTAATAAAACAACTGTAATGTATGACTTATAAGTCGCTACACTATCACCCTAACGTAAAGTATCTATAAAACCTAAATCAATGTATTACATTTTTGTCTGCTTCATACACAATTTAATCACAATAAGGACATATTAGGGAAGCTTAGAGCTATAGGAAAGACAAATGAAACTAATAAAATTGATATATCAGAAAGATTTGTAACAATATGCTGGGCAAGATAAATAGAAACTAAGAGAAACAGGGAAGCAAGAGGAAAAGATGACTTTAGTATATTAATCCAGGAAAGAATTGATAACGCCATAATTTAGACTTCCCTTCCAATATTTTCACATCAAAATATAGTACCTCTTCATATTTTTCTCTAGTCATAGTTTTCATGAACTGTTCATGTACTGTTTAAGATCTCCCTAAATTTTCTTGCTCACTATAAAGTTCAGAAATGCATGCAAGTTATATTGTCTTTCACTACTTTAAAATCCTCCCCTTGCATTTTTTCCAAGAACTCTATTTTGCATTTATTAGTTTCATTGTTTTACTCTTTTCTAATTTAAGAATTTATGCTTTCTTTAAAAATATCTGGAATTTTGGCAGTTTTTGAGGTAATTCTGATTCTACATTTGGGAATTACAGCTGTGATACAGTGTTTAACTAGAAATTAGTCATCTGGTGCCCCATTTTTTTCCTTTTAGTGTTGTTTTCATATTATTGCACGTTTTTCTCTGTGTATGCAACAGATGGAAGCTCTTTTGAGGCTAAGACTATGCATTGTATTTCTTAGGAACAATAAATATTGGTATTATGGCTGTGAAGTTAGAGAGTTAATGTAAGCATGAAGAACTTGTAGCATGTAGCTTCTGAAAGGGCTCCCAACAATCCCTACCTCTTAGTGCTAATATTCTTGTCTCACTTCCTCCGTCCTTTAGTGTGGACTAGATCTCGGGACTTGCTTCCGTGAAGTAGAATAGGACAAAAATATTGGAATGTTACCTCCAAGATTGGGCTATAAATGGTACCTACTTTGTCCTGTTCAGGCTCTTTCTGTATGTCTTGATTTTCTCCTTTGCTTATTTTGATGAAGTAAAGGGCTATATAATGAGCTATTCTATGAAGTTGCTGTATAATGAGCTATTCTATGAAATGGGCCATGTGTTGAGGAAGAGGGAGTGGTCTCTGGCCTATAGTCTGCAGTGATTTTAAGTCCACCCACCACCATCTGAGTGATTCTGGAAGCAAATCTGCCTCAAGTTGAGTCTTGAGATGATGTAGCTTAAACGAGCATCTTGACTGTGACCTTGAGGAAACCCAGAGCCAGGGGACACAGATGAAATACACCTAGATTCCTGCTCTGCAAAAATTTTGAGATGATAAATGTTGTTTTAAGCTAAAAAAAAAAAAAAGTCCTCCCCTAAGCTATAAAGCCTTATTTTTTAAAAAGTCAAGACAGCTTATCTCTGTATTCCACAATTGCCAAATTTTACTACATTCTATATATGACAGTTTGTTCTTAAATTACAAAACAAATTATTCAAATATTGAACTTCTTGTAGATGTGGGTAATTTTGTCCAACACCAAACCTCAAAACTGAAGCCCAGAGCAGGCTTTTTCTCTATAACATAATGGAAAAATATATAGTATTTGTTTGCATTATATTCAGATTGGGAATTTGATTATGGGTTATAGTGATACCAAAATGTTAAAGGAGTTAATGTGAAGCAAGGAGTATTTATCTACATATAAATACAAAGCTAGGAAAAAGATCACTGGTATAATGTCTATTGGTTAACATCAATAAATGTTAACATCAATGTATTCACTGAAACGAAAAGACTCTACACATCCTACATTGAAAAAAAAAATAAAATAAGACATAATCTAAATGTAACAAATCACAAGAAAAAGCTATACTGGGAAACAAACCTAATAATGTTATATAAAGTAAAAGCAAACTTAATTTATTTTTATATACCTTTAGTTGAACTGCTCATTTGATGGATAATATCAAATTAATGAATACTAGTGCAAATTCTAATAAGAGTTAACATATAAAGATTTTAGTTTCTTAACACACAGTTACACCAATAAATACAAACTTATTTTTAAAATAAAATAGCCAATTATAGTGTTTTCCCTGAATACGGTTTACGTGATTTTACTGTTTATCAACGTATTGACTGACTGATTTCTCAATGGAAATGTAGAAAATCTCATGGCTGTTATAAAAATATTTCCATCATAAGGTGTTGCCAATTTCTTTTCAGCAGAATATTTACTGGTGTATGATTTTAAATTTAATGAAGTGTTGAAATTCTTTACCTTTAATATCAGAGCACTGTATTTTACCATTTACTAGTTCAAGACACAAAAATCGTACCTGGGACCCAATTATCCATTCTTGGCTAACACTGTCTTATGTAATTAACAACAGAAATATATGCACTTAATATAGTTACCTTAAGAAAGAACCCCCAATATAAAAATGAACTTCTAGTTTGTCAATAATTTTCTTTAAAGCAGTGACAATGTAGTCTTTCATTTAAAAATAATAAATAAAACTCTTCTTGTTTTGCTAGTTTTTGAGATAGTACAGGTATACTATCTTTCAGTGTGAATTACTGCGTCCTTCTCTTAGTAGATTGGGTAATATCTCAAGATGTAGTCAGCTCTCATTACTCATGGTAGTTATGTTTTCAAGTCACCACAAACTCAGAGTTTAAAAATATTGAATGCTTTTGGGGAAAAGCAGGGTTAAGTGTATACAAGCTTAGAGTCACAACATGTTCCTCAACCAAAATGTTATTTGTTGAGGAACTTTATTTGTTGTTATATAGGTTGATTTGCCCTTGTCCTTATTAAACAAGGCAGTATTTAATCATCAGCACTGAAAATCTGCTCCTTCACCTAATCTTCCTCCTGTATAATATTTATCAGGCATTCTAAATTCTTTCCTGAAGTCTCCAGATCTGTAGAACCCACTCTGTCTGTTACACCATCAAGTTTAACATTTTTGAGAGCATACTGCTTTCAACACATGCAAGACAGTCAGCATTGGCCAAGAAGGATTTAGTGTTTTCCTGACCCTATACTCATATACATGATTGTATATATATATATTTTTGGCTTTAAGAATGACAACAATGCTATTCACTACACATTTTCATATGTTTCATACCATGAATTTACAGATTTGGCAGGTTTTCCATCATTTATATCTTTATCATGCATTGTAGATGTTATTTGAGCACTTTATGGAGCAGCCTCATGTATAGATCAGCAAATTTGCTCTTTTTCTTTTTCTGGGTATACGTACTGTTGATGTACTAACATTGAGATCACTGTCAACAGCTTATAACTCATGCCTGAATAAAAATTATCTAACATATTTTCTCCATATGGCACACATGCATATATATGAACATTAAATAGCACTTTAGCACTATGCTTGGGGACCATTTTAAACAGTAAAATCAACAAAAAGCACAAAATGTAGCACCAAATAGACTGTAAAATGGACACTTGTTTAAAGTATGAGAACTAAAACAACAAGGCACAGTGTTGACTTATTCAACTTCAGTTGAGAATAAGCACATTTAGTGATTCAAAATTTTTGAGATTATGAGCATTAGCATGTCTGCAAAGGACTGAGAGAATCCATAATTATTTATTTTGAACTTACAGATAAATTTTAGCTAGTGGGCCAATTCACAGAATCCAAGAATAATGAGGATTGACTGTATATAGGCAAAGCAGTGTCAATAATGACTAGAATGTCTAATATTCCAATTGAATTATCTTGGGAGGAAAACATTTATACTGAATAATATTTTTGTTATAATTACCTCTGTGTTAAGCATTTTAAATTCATTTTTTAATTAAATCTTTATAAAAACCCTGTATGTAGACAATATTACATCCATATTTTTTTAAGGAACTGAGTTACAAAAGTGAACTTTTATATGACTACCTGGCTCATGAGTGATGGAGCTAGTATTTAAACACATGTATGTTTTTACAGCCTACAGTATTTACCACACAGGTACAGTGTGTCAAGATTGAAAACGTAAGGGCTGATAGGAACATTTAAAGGCGAAATAATAATAATAAATTGAATAAATACATATATATATTTAATTACATAACAAAAAGGGAATTAGGTCCCATAATGGAAGCAGAGCTGCTCACAGATCAAATTCAACCACCTAATTAATAGGAGTTGTCATTATATAAAATTAGAAGAAAGCATGGGCACTTAAGTCAAAGAGCTAATCTGAGGTCATGGCTTATGGGACTCAAATAAGTCAGGCCAGGGAGTATGAAACACATTTGTTCTGATGTACTATGCTGTGTTCAGACAAATCATAACTTTTGCCCTGCAGAAGGAGTTTCCTTTTGGTACATACCCTCATATCTGATCAATGTGACTTTGCTAGACTGGCCTAAGTACTTTATAAACCTTTAAGACACAAACCATGTTACTTTAATTATACATCAAAGAATCAAATATACTCATTTTTAATTGCCCCTAGAAAAGAATTAACTCAGTGGTATTACTATCAAAACTGTCAAGATACCATAAACCTGGCATCTGCAGTGCCAGATGGTTTTTTGTATTAGGATATGATATTTTTCTTCCAGAGTTGACAAAGAGAGTGTTATCATAAATACTGAACAAGAGATACCCATGTGGTATATGCTATGATTTAATTATGATCATGGATATCCTTAGAAGAATTCTAAAATTAGTACACATTTTAAAAGTATGGCCATGGTTATAGATGTGTATATCCTAAACATCAATTACAACAGCAAAGAGATGTTTACTGTTAACTTGCTTATCAAAGTCTATTCTGTAAATGATACTGCTCTTGTATAATAAATGATTGATTTGTCATTACCATCTGGAGTAATCTCTTCAACAGATTCAAAGTGGATTCTTTGCTATCATGAACTCCTATACACATATTTTAGCATAGATGAATAATACTTCTGTAGCAAAATTTGTCAGCATATAAAATATAAAGATATTGCAAGAGTGGCCAATTTTCTGTATCTTTGTCAAATAAAAAAGTAATGTTTTTTTTTTCTTTTTTGTCAAACTAATTATCATTCCAAAATAGTCACAGAATTTGCATACCTATTCTTATGAATGTGGTGGAACATCTTTTCATGTTCCATATTTATTGAGATTTTGTCTTTCTGTGGTTCTATTTGTCATGTTTTTCCTAATGAGATTTTTTTTGCTTTCCTTATTGATATGTAAGAACACTTTATATAATATATTCTTAATATAAGCCATTTTTCTGTTAATTATATGCCACACATAAAAGCAAAATTTTGGAAGTTTGTGCACTTTGCAGTAGGGAGGAGCCTGTTCCCTCCTGTTCCTATGTGGAACCAGGGATTTGAATGGCCAGATGGGAAGCACTCTATCAGGGACTCTGGCCTGGGGAGATTCCCTGTTGCCCCCTTTTCTTCCTTTTCACCCAGTGACACCCTGCTTCACTCACCCTTCAAACCATCTGCGAGTCTAAATTTTTGTGGCTGTGGGACAGGCAAGGACCCCATCTTTAGTTGTACTAACAAAAAGTCCTGCGATTACTGTATACAAAGATGTTTGGTAATACCTTAGGAGACTATGGCCAGAACTAGAATAATAATGACCTGGTAGTTTACCACTACCTACTTCTATTTGTTTTCAACCCATTACAAAATAGATTTTTTTTGGAAAGTTTAATGTTCTAAACTTGCTCTGTAAAAAGTTTTCCAGATGACTTAATCCTTTCGGTTTATTCCTCATTCTATAATATTGGAGCAGTTGTGTCGTATCAGTTATAACATATATCTTGATTACTTGGTTTTTATAAATTATTAGAATTCTTATGTGAAGCCTTTACTATGTCTTAATATAGCTAGAAATAGGTAATTTCATGGAATAAGGAATGAGGACAAGAGAAGGCACACATATGAACTTCTGTTTCCTGTGCATAAGGTTAATCCTTGGTTTCTCCACTACAGAGGAGATAATGTATAGATAAGAAAAAAAAATACTGAGGAATGTCAAGATAGGGAAGATGCTACAAGTAAAATATAAATTATTGCTGGTATATCTGTTGAGCCCATCCAAATGATAATAATTTTTGGAGTAAGAGTGTTGAAAGAGATGGAGAATATTGTGTTTTTATATAGAGATGTAGAGACTTACAGCTATGGATTTAAACTGATGAGAACCTAATTCTTAGATCTGAAACAGATATTTGCCAACATAAGATTTAAAAAAAGAGTTTTTATAGTAATTAATCTTTATTTAAGTCACAGAAGGATTTAAAATTTTCTGAGATGAACGGGAGAAATCACGAGTATTAGGAAGTATGCTTATTCTGTATGTAATAAAACATGAAAGATAATGAAAACTTACCCTTATCTCATTTTAGCTTATGGATTCATCTGGCATGCAGATTAAACCACTGCCTTTTTATATCTTACTTCTTTATAAAAGTAAAACCAAAGTGAACTTAATTTTGAAAATGTCACATTACCACCAAAATGCAATAATCTGGATAACTCAATTTAAACATAAGATAACGGTGCACTGTAGTTCCTATGACCCTACACACTAACTGTAACAAAAGTCAGGCTTGGCATACTTGTGAAAGAATTATATTAAATTTTTGATTTTAGAATAATACATCTCCAAACACAGTATCTGATCCTTGAACCATATATATATACATTTTAAAAGATCCATGTATATAGATAAAACAGTCCTAGATAAAATAAGTTTTGACCCCAAACTTTTCCTATATATTGGAGTTTCAAACATGCTTATAATGTCACTTTTATAGTATTGTATTTCTTGTGTTTTAAAGAAAGCTGAGTTTGAAAATGTACTTGCTGGATTTCTGACCCAGTGAATGTACAGACTATAAAATTTTTGAGAATTACAACCCTTTATCTTCATTGCTTTTATGTTTTTTATATATATATATATATATATACATACAGTTGGTTATTGAACAACATAGATTTGAACTGGGCAAGTATATTTATATAGAGAGGTCCTTCTACCTCTGCTATCCTCAAAATCTGAGACAGCAGAAACAGCCCCTCCTCTTCCTTCTTCTCAGCCTACTGAATATGAAGAGAGATGAAGATCTTTATGATAATCCACATCTATTTAATCAATAGTAAATGTATTTTATCTTCCATATGATTTTAATAGCATTTTCTTTTCTCTAGATTACTTTATTGTAAGAATGTAGTTTAAAAACATATACAAAATATGTATTAATTTTCTATCTATATTATCGGTAAGTCTTCTGGTCAACAATAGGCTATTAGTAGTTAAGTATTGGGGAGTTAAATGTTATATGCAGAGATTAGAGTGTGTCAGGGTTGGCATTCCTTAACCCTGTATTGTTCAAGGGTCAACTGTAGTTTTTTCTCTGGAATATATTTTCATAGAAAAAAATCTAATAAATATTTTTATAATTTAATTCCATTATGTGGTCTTAAACTTGTGTTAGTTTTAAAGTCACTTAAATTGTCTGAAACTTTTTTTAAACCTATAAAAGTAAATTAGTAACCCTTTGACTGCTCTTTTTTTAAAAAAATTTACTGTTAGCTAGGCATTGTGTTATACAGATCCCATTCATTTATTACTCACATTAAGTCTGTGAAATAAAAACTTTTTTTTTTTTAACAGTTGGTATAGCTGAGGTGCAGAGTTGAAAGATTAAACAAAGGTCACACACTAATAAATTATAGAACAGGATTTGAAATAAAAATATGACTTCTTTTAGAGCCTTAAATTTTTTTAAACACTATTTTTACACTTCTTTATATTGGACTGTTATAAGAATCAAATAAGAAATGAAAAATTCTTTGTAAATTTGAAAATGAGTATCCGCTATGTATACTGATGTTACTGTTATAAAGGCATGAGCTATTAGCCAATTCCTCTAGAAAGATAAATTTTATAATAAAATAATGACATCCTTTTGCAAAGCATTAACAAAGAATGTGGAATGCAAATATTTCTTTTTCTTTTTTTGATTTTTTCGAGACAGTTTCACTCTTGTTGCTCAAGCTGGAGTGCAATGGCACAGTCTCAGCTCACTACAACTTCCGCCTCCTGTGTTCAAGCGATTCTCCTGCCTCATCCTCCTGAGTAGCTGGGATTACAGGCTTGTGCCACCACAACCGGCTAATTTTTTTTTTTAGTAGAGACAGCGTTTCTCCATGTTGGTCAGGCTGGTCTCCAACTCCCAACCTCAATTGATCTGCCTGCCTCGGCCTCTCAAAGTGCTAGGATTACAGAAGTGAGCCACCACACCCTACCTGCAAATATTTAAACTTACAATATACGTGGAGGATATGTGTGTGTGTGTGTGTGTGTGTGTGTGTGTGTGTGTGTGTGTGTAAAGTTACTGAGTTAATTGTTAATTACATTTTAGAGTTAGAATTATGAAAAATATGTTAATGTCCTTGTGATCATGAAATCTTCATTCTAGTGTATAAAGAACAAACACAGATGACCAAAAGTAATAGGCAGATAGAATAAATATGCAAATCAGAATATGTGAAAGACATCGATGGTTCTTTATCTACAGAGAAACAGAACAAACATGTCTTGTTAAAATTTGTTCATATTTACTAAATCAACAGTAGTAAGAATAGATCCTTGATCAATAAGTATAAATATATAGTTCACCATTGAACAACATAGATTTGAACTGGGTAAGTATATTTATATCTAGAATTTCTTTCACCTCTGCTATTCCCAAGACCCGAGACAGCAGGAATTTTGAATCTTTGTTAATCAAGAATATTTATTTGTAATTTTCTCTTTTTGTTTCATTTTTGCCTGGCTTTTGTATCAGGGTGATGCTAGCATTTTAGAGTGAGTCAGGATGAATTTCTTCCTCCTTGATTTGTGTTGCATAGTTTCAACAGGATTGATATTATCTCTTCTTTGTATGTTTGGTAGAATTATGCTGTGAGTTCATCCAGTCCTTGGCTTATTTTTGTTAAGATATTTTTTATTTCTTATTCAGTATCACTTCTCATTATTGTCTGTTCAAGATTTTGATTTTTTCTTGGTTGAATCTTGGGAGCTTCTATGTTTCCAGGAATTTATACATTTCCTCAAGCTTTTTAAATTTATAAGTGTGGAGATGCTCATAGTAGTCTCTTACAATCTTTTGTATTTTTGTGGCATCATTTGAAATGTCTCTCTTTTCATTTCTTATTTTGCTTATTTGAATCTTCTCTCTTCTTAGTTATTCTCGCTCGTGGTCTATCATTTTTATTTATGTTTTCAAAAACCCATTGTTCATTTCATCCATTCTTCATATCTTTTTTTATTTTGTCACAATTTTGTTTAAGTCTACTCTGATATTTGTTATTTCTCTTTTGCTAGCTTTGTTCTTATTTTCCCATTAGGTAATTTCTTCTTTTCAAGTTTCTTGAGGTGCAACATTAGGTTGTTAATTTCTAATCTATTTCTTATATAGGTACTTAACAGTATAAACTTCCCTCTGTATACCACAAGTTTTGGTATATTGTTCTACCTTTTTAATTGTCTTAAATATTTATGTTTAA